ACCAACCTTGCCGTCTTTCCCTACTTCGTAGGCATCTTTCAGGAAGTCCAGTGCACCAACCTCAGTGAACTCTGCTTCAGGGTGGAATTCACGAGGCTCGATGGCACTCATCTCACTCATCATCTTGTTCAAAGCCGCATCCATGGCAGCGAAAGGCTAAAATGGGGTGGGGAGAAGAAAGTCAGTGTTAGACACGAGGCTACGACTGTTAGGCATGACAGGGATATGTGGAGAAATGCGTGATGCCACTCACCTCAAGAGAAAACAAGTTCCTATGCATGCTCATGATATCGTCACCAAGTGTTCGTCGAGAGCGTTCAATCCAATTTGCCACCTCGTCGAATGGCATCAATGCCAATTGAGGGAATTGCCAATCGAGAAGACTGCGTCTTCTTTGCGCCAAGTCGTATATATCGCGTGAAGGAGTGATTGACATTTAGTTCGTGTAGAGACTTTCAAACCAAAGATTGAATGAAGACTCAATCGCTTGTTCTCTTTTATATCTATTCCCTCTCACTACTTCATTGGTTCATTCACTTCTAACCACTCATGAAGCACCAGACTCCTCTATGACTTTTGGCATTGGCTGATTTCGCCTAGTGTACGCACACACTTCAATTTTGCACTTTTAGCATTGGGCCAACTTCCAACCAATCGAATGCCTCTTGCTCTGTCATGTGCATTCAAGGTTGTCCCAAATCTAGGTCTGGCTTCCTCTCGAAAATTCTAGTGCAATATTTAGCCTATTCCAGTATTTTCCAGTTAAGGTTAGAACATTCTGAATGATTTAAGATGAATGCCTAGTCTACGCGTGGTGTTAGTTCTGCATGGAACCAACAATTACAGTGCCATGTCACAAGTTTTCGCCTGAGTTCCGACTTGGATTCTCTACCAATCCACTCCTACTTGCCATTCATTCTAATATCATAGCAACTATGCTAAGCAAAAGTTACCTCTTCCTTCTTGTCTTAAGTAAGGTTTGTGGAGTGCTCAGCACAACCTTAACTGTCCAAAGCTGTCTCTCTTGCAAGAAAATTGAAGTTCGGTAAGCGGAGCACCAATTGCTCTCTCGATTACGTCTCATTTCTGCAAACGGCTCTCTTCACATCATTTACTTCTTCCCTCCCCACACCCCACACTCCCAACCACATCCCCATCTCTCCTTCCATTCTTTCGCTTCACTCGCTCCATTCGCCACCCCAAAGGAGGTACTTCAATTCTTCTCTTCCAACGCCATTACACCCAAATTTACAGCTTCATAAAGTGTTCTACCTTTCGCACATAATTATACCACATAGAAGGGTAGATTTCATTATGAGGAGAATTCTCACACCCAAAATCTAATCACACGGAACTCGAATAAGGAAACGCTGAAGTCGAAGCGTGATAATATTATATACCTGGTGGTTTGTTGCTTTCTAACAAACTAAAATCGTCAGTGATCTGACCGCCCAACTCAATAATTCACACTATAGATGACCTTGACCAATTTGTCATTCCAACAGCTTAACACAGAAACGCCATCTGAAGAAATAGGAGATTGCTTCTGACTTTGGCAACAGAGAAGGTGAAAACAGAAAAGATTCACACTCGATCACATCAGATCCCTCATCGGTTGAGTACTTCACTACACTTATTCGCTCTTTTAGCATTGAATCAACTTCCAACCACTCGAATGCCAACCACTTCCTTTGTCTTGTGCATTCTCGTTGCCCAAAGTCTGGTCCTTGCCTTATCTGGGCAATTCCAGTGGACCTGAGTGTGCACCAGCTGCCACCACTGAAACGTACGGTGCTCTTCCAGTAAGCGTGAATTGTCTCCAAAGCTCTAGAAATGTGGAGGAGGTCTTAGCTTCAATCGAGTCACAAGGCTCAGAAGGACATGTGTGGTAACCTCTCCTACGTCACGTGACCACAGCCTCTATGGGCATGCATCTAACGTGTGATAAACAGGAGCATCCAATTAAATTTCAAACCAATTCATCTCATGAACATTTACGAGTCATCTCATCAATCAACTTTAATCGATAGAAAATATTGCTGATTACTTCAATTGATCTGGCTGATTCCATAAACAGGCATATTTTGCAGTAAACAAGTGTTTCTCAACATTGTACCATTTGTGTTGCCACATATTATCTCGAGTGTCTTGCCATTTTGTTTTTCGTGTTGTTTATTGCAATCGTTTCCTTCCTTCATCTGTTTCATTGTCAAGGTCGTAACTAGAGGGATATTTCAGACTTGTAGCTTGTTCATAGCCATGGTTTTAGCTGTGTGTCTGATGTGATCGAGTATGAATCCTTTCTGTTTTCACCTTATCTGTTGCCAAAGATAAAAACAAGCTCCTGTTTCTTCAGATGGCGTTTCTGTGCTAAGGCGTTGGAAGGACAAATTGGTCAAGGTCTCCTATCGTGTGAAATAATGAGTTTGTTAGGAAACAGTAAACCCCCAGGTGCACGAATTTTCACGTTTCAACTTCAGCGTTACCTTATTCGAGTTCAGTGTGATTCGATGTTGTGTTTGAAAATTCTCCTCATTAGGATATCTACCCTACTAAGTGGTACAATTATGTGCGAAAGGTAGAACACTTCATGAAGCTGTAAGAACCGAGTTAAGCACTGGAGTGAACTCTCATAGTATAATTGGGTAAAATGACGCTGGAAGAGAAGAATTGAAGTACCTCTTTTGGGGTGGCGAATGGAGCGAATGAAGCGAAAGAATGGAAGGAGAGGTGGGGATGTGGTTGGGGGTGTGGATGTGAGCTTGGGAAGAGAGAAAGCGAATGTTGTGAAGAGAGCCGTTTGCAGAAATGAGTCGTAATTAAGAGAGCAATTGGTGCTATCTGCACGACCATTGAAGGTTTAATTTTCTAGCACGATAGACAGCTTTGAACAATTATTGTTGCGTTGAGCACTCTTCAAATCATCCTTTGTACTAGTTGGCAGAGGTAACTTATGCGTCGCATATATACTAATGTAATTAGAATGAATGGTAGGTAGGAGTGGATTGGTAGA